TTGGGTAATGACAGTGAACATTGCGTAACAAAGCAAACTTAGTAACTTACAAAGTCTATCAATTCCATATTGATGAGGCTTATCAAAATCATTTCATGTAAATATTTACTACGTAAACTATTATTCTTACATGTGTACATAGTCTACTCATATGAATGTATTTGTTTACTTAATGCGTAACATTTGAATTACAGGTTTAAAAGTGAAATTATTTTAGATGTGTAACAACACATTCGGCTTTTTGTAAATGAAAACCTGTTATAAAATGACTGTTCTCTTTAGAGATCTTTTATTTTTTATGTAACATTTTGAAATCAGGATGTGTTTCATTTGTTCAAATTTCTTACATTCCATTAGAAAAACAGGTTAAAGTTTCTGTGTATACAAAAATATATATTTTGAACTTTTGAAGAAATATTTATACATGAATACTGTTGGTACATATCTTTATAAAAATAAATCATATTTAACGTCATTTACATAGTGTAAACATGTATTCCCATGGCCTAGTCTTTAATACAAAACATTCCATTTCGTAATTAATATGCCAATCTGTGATAAAATTTGTCAGGGTCGTGGAAACACTGTCCAAATTTGTTTTAAAAGTACATTATGTTACTTACGGTGTTGCCATGAACCCCTGTACATATAATAATCTCATACGACAACCATTTTCTTGTTTTTTATTTCAATTGAATATCTACTACATGTAATATCATTGCTTTGATAATTCAAACCATGAACCGCTTGGATGTGTGTAATGAACCGGTCCTTTAAATTGTCAATTGTGTCAAGTTTGTTTTTTTTCCATACCATCAAAATGATAAAATTGAACTGCCAATAGTAATTTCTCTATACTGCAGGTTTGTATTTTTTTAAGATGGAGTAAAATTTGACCTTTCCATATTTGGGGGTTGTAACAACTTGTTTTGAGCACAAAATGATAATTTTCAAACGGAGTAATTGCTCATCTTCTATTATACCTTAATACACCTTGTAAAATTTCATAGATCTTGATCATTGAGTATTTGACTTTAAATGAAATTTAGAAAGAACTATGTACGTTGTTAACATATTAATATTTAACAGTGTAATTAGGGGTGTCAACTTTTTTCTGCTTTTAAAATGAAAGTTGATGGTTTTCAGAATTTAAAGACAATCTTGTGAAAATGTAAATGTGATAAAATTCTTAACTATCCTTATACAGCTTGATTTTTAAGCAGCTCAAAATTTTTTACCTTTTTTATAGCATATTTTTTGTTTTTGTTTTATCTACCAAACAATTCTAAAATTTTGAAAGAGATTTGTTATTTTTTCACTTTGTCTAGATATGTATTTGTGTATATTTTTGCATCACCTAAATCTGTTGTAGAGGTTGCTTAATTGATAAAAATATTTCAAGTTTTAAGCTACAGATTTCCTGCAGAGAGGTTTTATAATCGCGTGCGCAAGATTGCTTTGAACCAGACTTGTGTTGATAGATCTTTTTACATCTATATAGAAGCTATTTTAGTTAGTAATGTTTTTTTTGTGTAATTGTTATTTCATTTTTTGATAAAAGAATTTTTTATTTAAAATGATACATTTAAAAAATTCACGCAACAGTGTATCATGGAACAAGTTTTTCATTCTTTAGTTGCAGCACTAACTTTTGCCGTCCATTCTTTCAAAACAATCATTTTTGTTTTTATTCTTTTTTCAATTTAGCTTAGATTCCTAATCCAGTCTCATTTTGCATTTTTTTGTTTATAAATTTATGCCCTGTATGTTATTTGTGAATAGTTTAATAATTTTATATTTTGGATTTTTTAGGGGGAAAATGTATACATATACTTTTGACATTTTGTTACAACTGTAATATTTTTGTTAGCAAACTTCTGTAACTGTTGATAAACTAGGAAATAAAATCATTACAAATATAAACTTGTATATTTTATATTAAGAAAAATTTGTATTGTCAAACAATATTGACCTGGCACTCCATTAACTTCGTTAAGGTCATTTGAATAAACATTGCCTGTATCTATCGAATATATCGTTATATATACACATGGAAATAAGTTTAGCACATCCCAGAAATTTTAAAATTGTTGTGATTTGAAAGCACTGTCATAAGATGACGACTTAATTGAGCTAAGAATAGCAATTGGCAAGTAGTGATACCAATTTCATCATAAACCAGTAAATTTAAGTTTAGTTTTTATTCTTAACCAAATTATTGAAGCATAAGCAAATTCTGTTTTGTTTTTTTTATACCAAAAACAAATTGTTTTTAAGAATGGTGTTGGAGCGTTTACAAAAACATTACTTTGGTAAATATTTTTGGTAAATGTGACAATTACGTAAGTAACTAAAATGACTTATGTAACGCCAAATTTTAACTTGCCATGTGCGCAGATTAGCCTTAACCTCCTCACACCGACATTTAGCCTCAATTTTGACAACTGAAATTTTAACGGGCAATGGTACAAACTACTTGTAATCGTAGCTCTGCACCAAGAATGGCAAAATGTACCTCAAAATTGCATTAGAAGCTATACATCATCCGAGCACGTCGGTTACACTCATTACATCAATGTCGCTGATAGGGGGGGTCTGGGTGTTGCACATGCTTTACATTGGTATAGTTATTTCAAAATCCCTTAAGGCTGAATAATGGACAGACAAACAAGACTATCTCTGTATACCATTTTCTATTCCAAAGACAACAAGGGTGCCATAGTCACAAAATACGCCCGTTTACGAAAAAAGCTTTAGATGGAGATGGGGGCATTATGGATAAGTGTTATCTAGCAAGCAAGTTTTTATTCTTGGCACTGTGTTGTTAAATGAACCTTAAAACAAATCAATAGGGAAGATATGCACAGAATGTGTGACCTTGACCTTGGTTGCAGGGACCTGAATTTTATGCACGGCACTCGGCCTCACAATGATGAACATTTGTGCCAAATTATATTGAAATCCCTCTATGCATGTAGAAGTTTTGCTCCAGACAAGTGTTTTTCTATGAGCTCTAACTGTGACCTTCACCTTTGACCTAGAGACTTGGTTTATGTGCAGGGCACTACGTCTCATGGTGGTGAACAATTCTATAAAGTAACATTAAAATTCCTCCATGCATGTAGAAAATATGCTCCGGACAACATCTGGATATTTAATCATCTCCAGTGACCTTGACCTTGCAAATATTAACCTAAATTAAATGTGTAACACCTGTAGTCATGATAGTTACCATTTGTGCTACAATCCATCAATAAATGATGACTCAATGGTCCCTATAACCATCTTCAAATTTTTATCTGAACTTTGACCTCTAAGTGTAACCTTGACTTTGGTCGCAGGGATCTGAATTTGCATGCGACACTCAGCCTCACAATGGTGAACATTTGTGCCAAGTTATATTGAAAACCCCCTATGAATGTAGAAGTTTTGCTCCGGACAAGCGTTTTTCAATGAGCTCTAAGTGTGACCTTGACTTTGACCTGGAGACTTGGATCATGCATGGAGCAATACATATCATGGTGGTGAACATTTCCATAAAGTATTATAAAAATTCTTCCATACATGTATGAGATATGCTCCAGACAAAATCTGGATATTTCACCATCTTTAGTGACCTTGACCTTGCATATATTGACCTAAAGTACATGTGTCACAGCCGTAGTCATTATAATGACCATTTGTGTTACAATCCCTCAATAAATGATGATTAAATCGTCCCTATACACATCTTCATATTTTTATCTTTTTTTAAACGGGCGTATAAAAAGTACATGTAATTTAATAACTAAAAATTCTGATTTAAGATTTTATTCTAGGGAAATACATTTCATTACAATTCTTAATCTTTGAATGAGCTGAACTGATATTTACTTGAAAATTAAAATATAATTAAATTTCTATGAGAAAGTATTTACATTTGATAAGGTAATTACTGTATGATCTTTATGAACAAATACCAAGTCTACAGAACACCATAGTTATCACAGTTAAGAATCTTGACCAATGAATGAAACATGTGTAAATAAATGTTACATTCTTTACAACATACTCAAGTCCAAGAAAGAGGATTATTTCATGCCCTTTGATTAAATTCTATTTTTTAGATCAAGGGGAGTAATTGTGTAAGTCATTTATGAACAAAGTAATAACTTTGTTGTCTCCCTTTGATTAAATTCTATTTACAAAATCTGGATATTTCATCATCTTTAGTGACCTTGACCTTGTATATATTGACCTAAATTATATGTATCACAGCCATAGTCCTTGATAATGACCATTTGTGTTACAATCCCTCAATTAATGATGACTAAATGGTCCATATACACATCTTCATATTTTTATCTGAACTTTGACCTCTATGTGTGACCTTGACCTTGGCCGCAAGGACCTGAATCTTGCACGCGACACTCCGCCTCACAATGGTGAACATTTGTGCCAAGTAATATTGAAATCCCTCTACACATGTGGAAGTTTTGCTCCGGACAAGCATTTTTCAATGAGCTCTAAGTGTGACCTTGACCTTTGACCTAGAGACCTGGTTCATGTGCGCGACACTGCTCCTCATAGTGGTGAACATTTATATGAAGTTTCATTAAAAATCCCTCCATACATGTAGGAGATATGCTCCGGACAAAATTGGACGCCGCCCGCCCGCCCGCCCGCCCGCCAGGGGCGTTCCCATAATACGTCCCGTTTTTCAAACGGGCGTATAAAAAGGAAAGAGTTTTATGTCTTCTCTTGTGGGGATATTAAATGCATATAATTTGGAGTTTTCATATTTTCAGCAAAATTGATTCTAAAATCGTGTATAGCCACTATTTTCTCAGAACATGTGTTCATGTGAAAACATAGCAGTTTAGATATGAATCTGCATGCAGATAAAATTCAATAAAGATTCAATATAAACTCGAGTGTTTACAAGCTTTTTTGACTGTGTGACCATGGATTAATTTAACACATTAATAATTTTAATCATATTAAAGGACTAATTGAAAACATTTGATTTTTTTTTTCATTTATTTTCTTTTATTTACACAGCATTTAGAATTTCTTGAATCCTTTTTTAGATCCTGCTGCTTTGGAGACCTTGAGAACGTTGAATCTGACGGTCTTACTGAGTGGTCGGCATTCTCCAACAGTTACAACATCACCAGGCACTACGTCCCTGTAAAATATAGAGAACATTCATTAATTCATGAAGTGAAATAAATATCTAATTATAGTCACCAATAAATGCCCGTACCAATTAGTCCTTCCATGAACTTTGAAAATATTTTTTCTTTATTTCTACACAACTGACCATCAATCTGATCCTGTGGTAAGACGTGCCAGTTTTGAACAAATTGTGCAATTAAAAAAATGAGCAAAATATGTCAAATTTAGCTTCATATGGAAGTAAATGTAGGAAACTGTTATTATGTAAAGTCACATCAGCAGAATGCCATTTGGCAGTATCACCATTTCATGTCTGAAGACCATCGTGAGAAAACATCATTTGTGACTTGTATATAAAACAAAGATGACTCAATAACTTAACATCAATAGTCTTGCAATTTGACATTTTTTAACAAGGCAAGCTGAAGTTTTAGTCTTTATAGACACAGATGTCTCAGCAACAGTAAATAATTAATGAATAGTGTAGTAAAATCCACAAACAAAGTAATGTGCTTGAAGTTTTTGTTGTTGGGTTTATGTCGCACCAACAGAAGAAGTCATATGGCAACTCTCCAGCTTTACTGGTGGAAGAAGACCAAAGGTGCCCTTCCATGCATTATTCCAGACAGGCAGGCACACCCGAGTAGAACCACCAACATTCCACAATCTAGCTGGATAGCTTCCTCACATGAAAGAATCCTAAGCCCCTGTCAGAATTCAAACCCAAAGCAGCAAAAGGCAAGTGATTTGAAGACAACAACTTTTACCTATCCAGATATGCTTGATAACTGTGTTTATCAATGGTGGAATCAAGGAATAGCTCTTTGAAAATGTTGGGATTTATTATTTAAAGAAATAAAGATTGGCAGAAAGGATAGATTTTCAATATACATTTGATTGATGAAATATACGAAACAAATTGCATGCTGTCATTAATTTTACCAAAGTCACATCAGCAGAATGCCATTTGGCAGTATCACCATTTCATGTCTGAAGACCATCGTGAGAAAACATCATTTGTGACTTGTATATAAAACAAAGATGACTCAATAACTTAACAATAATAGTCTTGTGACTTGACATTTTTTAACTAGACAAGTTGAAATGTTAGACACAGATGTCTCGGCAACAGTAAATAATCAATGGACAGTGAAATAAAATCTCTCTCATGCTTTACTTGTAGAGGAAGACCTCAGGTGTCCTTCCATGCATGGTTTCAGACAGGAGGGAGCACCTGAGTAAAACCACCAACATTTCACAAGCTAGCTCGATAGCTTGCTCACAAGAAAGAATTCAAAGTCGCTGTCGGAATTTGAACCCACAGTGGTAAGGATCAAGTTATTTTAAGACGACATTTATCGCTTCCAATATGCGTGATAATTGTGTTTCAATCAATAGTTGAATGTAGGAATAGCTCTTGGAAAATGTTGGGATTTATTTGTTTAAAGAAAACAAGAGGGCCATGATGGCCCTGAGGTCGCTCACCTGTATATAGGCCCCCCCCCACCCCCGGGCCAATTTTTACCCAAGGGCTTTTATTTGTTTATTCGAACAGACTTGGTAGACACCCATAAGAAGATGTTTCATGCTAAACATCTAAGTTCTAGATCATTGGGTTTTTTAAAAGAAGATTTTTAAAGTTTTTACTATACACATACAGTATAAAACAATGACACCCCTGGGGCAGGGCCAGTTTTGACCCGAGGGCTTTTATTTGAACAAACTTTGTACATATTTACTTAAAGATGTTTCATGCTTAATATCTAAACTCTAGCTATTTGGGTTTTTTCAAAGAAGATTTTTAAGTTTTTGCTATACTCATACAAGGAAAAACAATGACTCCCCCCCCCCCCCCCGGGCGGGGCCAGTTTTGACCCCAGGGCTTTTATTTGAACAAACTTGGTAGACATTCACTAGAAGCGTTTCATGCCAAATATCTAAGATCTAGCTCTTATGGTTCTTTAAAAGAAGATTTTTTAAGTTTTTACTATATGCATATAGGGAAAATCAATGCCCCCCGGGGCAGGGCCAATTTTGACCCCAGGGCTTTAATTTAAACAAACTTGGTAGACACTCACTAGAAGGTGTTTCATGCTTAATATCTTAGCTCTAGCTCTTTGGGTTCTTTAAAAGAATTTTTTTAAAGTTTTTACTATATGCATATAGGGAAAATCAATGACCCCCTGGGGCGGGGCCAATTTTGACCCCAGGGCTTTTATTTGAACAAACTTGGTAGACATTCACTAGAAGATGTTTCATGCCAAATATCTAAGCTCTAGCTCTTACGGTTCTTTAAAAGAAGATTTTTTAAGTTTTTACTATATGCATATAGGGAAAAATTAATGACCCCCTGGGGCGGGGCCAATTTTGACCCCAGGGCTTTTATTTGAACAAACTTGGTAGACACTCACTAGAAGATGTTTCATGCCAAATATCTTAGCTCTAGCTCTTTGGGTTCTTTAAAAGAAGATATTTAAAGATTTTTCTTTCGGTTGCCATGGCAACCAGAGTTCTGCATGGAATTAAATTCTTTGAACAATTTTCAAAGGTGACCACCAAAGGAACATTCCTGTGAAGTTTGGATGAAATTGGCTCAGTGGTTTATGAGGAGATGTCATTTAAAGCAAAAGTTTACGGACGGACGGACGACGGACGGACGCCGGACGAAAAGCGATCACAAAAGCTCACCCTGTCACTTTGTGACAGGTGAGCTAATAAAAGATTGGAGCAGAAAGGATAGATTTCACAAATTTTTAATATACATTTGATTGATGAAATATACGAAACAAATTGCATGTTGTCATTAATTTTACTATAGTCACATCAGCAGAATGCCATTTGGCAGTATCACCAGTATACATGTCTGAAGACCATCGTGAGAAAAACATCATTTGTGACTTGTCATTTTTACAGCTTATTTTACCCGATCATGTCTTTACATGGATATCCTATTCATACTCATAACACCATTATTTTTCATTGTAGAAAATATTACAAAATTCATAATCATCTATTCCAAGAGTAAAGCACAATAAAAACTGACTTATTTTAATTCCTGAGACTACACTGATGTCAAATTAATTGCATATATGGTAATAAATTTTAAGTATTGAGCCTACATGTTACTATGAAAGCAAAAGTTGCATGCGCAGTATCATCACTAAATCACCATATAAATACGAAAACAAGAATATCTGACTAGGGATCCTTTTATTTACTTTGTAATTGTAATATCCATGTTAGTGTATGTTGATAAAATCTATCAAAGAATTTTTTTTAAAAGCTATATTTAGAATCCTGCAGGTCATCTTTATAACAGCAGCTGTAACTTTCAATCAGGCCATCCTTAAAAAAATGTTTGTTTGCAGTAACCCGACCCAGAATTTTCAAGGTGGGTAGGTAGGTCGATTTTTTTTTTTTATTGAACTGTACTCCCAAATAAACATGGAATTTCAAAATGCTGGACAATATATGCTTTGATAATCTGGTAACAATTAATAAATTGATAACTGAATTCTAATTTAATAAGACCTACATTTTATTTCTTCTATTAGTATTAACCTTTAAAAGAACGAAAACAAACCACAAGGCATAATTTTCTGATTCAAAAAAAAAATTTTTTTTATCCAGACCATGAAAAAAAAATTTGAGTAGGGGCAAATTTTGTGAGTCAGTCGCGTAACTGCAAACGAACATTTTTTTAAGGATGGCCTCATGCCCATATGGAAATGTATACAGCCTTAACAAAAACAAAACATTTGCTTTTGAAAAACCGATCAAGCATAATTTATAAAGCAATTGGTACAACAATGAAAGACATGATGAAAAATCTCTATGTTTTAAGATAAATCATGACCTGTCACATCAGCAGAATGCCACTTGGCAATATCACCAGTTGAAGTCTGAAGACCATCGTGAGAAAAACATCATTTGTGACTTCATTGGTCATTTTTTTTGTATGTAGTTATTATTTTCATAATAATAATAATTTCTGAATAAAAATGCTCCACTGTAATAATTAAAACTGTCTATTTCACACAAGCCGAGAGGAAACCATTTAATTCTTAAAAAATAAAAAACTTTTAAGATACTGAAACAAGAGGGCCATGATGGCCCTGAGGTCGCTCACCTGTATATAGCCCCCCCCCCCCCCCCCCCCCCCCCCGGCCCAATTTTTACCCAAGGGTTTTTATTTGTTTATTTGAACAGACTTGGTAGACACCCATAAGAAGATGTTTCATGCAAAACATCTAAGTTCTAGCTCATTGGGTTTTTTAAAAGAAAATTTTTTAAGTTTTTACTGTACACATATAGTTAAAAACAATGACACCCCTCGGGCAGGGCCAGTTTTGACCCCTCGGCTTTTATTTGAACAAACTTTGTAGATATTTACTTAAAGATGTTTCATGCTTAATATCTAAACTCTAGTTATTTTGGTTTTTTCAAAGAAGATTTTTAAGTTTTTGCTATGTATATAGGGAAAATCAATGACCCCCGGGGCGGGGCCAGTTTTGACCCCAGGGCTTTTATTTGAACATACTTGGTAGACACCCATTAGAACATGTCTCATGCTAAATATCTTAGCTCTAGCTCTTTGGGTTCTTTAAAAGAAGATTTTATAAGTTTTTACTATATGCATATAAGGAAAATCAATGACCCCCTGGGGCGGGGCCAATTTGGACCCCAGGGCTTTTATTTGAACAAACTTGGTAGACATTCACTAGAAGATGTTTCATGCCAAATATCTTAGCTCTAGCTCTTTGGGTTCTTTAAAAGAAGATTTTTTAAGTTTTTACTATATGCATATAGGGAAAATCAATGACCCCCTGGGGCGGGGCCAATTTTGACCCCAGGGCTTTTATTTGAACAAACTTGGTAGACATTTACTAGAAGATGTTTTATGCCAAATATCTAAGCTCTAGCTCTTACGGTTCTTTAAAAGAAGATTTTTTAAGTTTTTACTATATGCATATAGAGAAAATCAATTACCCCCCAGGGCGGGGCCAATTTTGACCCCAGGGCTTTTATTTGAACAAAGTTGGTAGACATTCACTAGAAGATGTTTCATGCCAAATATCTAAGCTCTAGCTCTTTGGGTTCTTTAAAAGAAGATTTTTAAGTTTTTACTTTATGCATATAGGGAAAATCAATGACCCCCTGGGGCGGGGCCAATTTTGACCCCAGGGCTTTTATTTGAACAAACTTGGTAGACATTCACTAGAAGATGTTTCATGCCAAATATCTAAGCTCTAGCTCTTACAGTTCTTTAAAAGAAGATTTTTTAAGTGTTTACTACATGTATATGCATATAGGGAAAATCAATGACCCCCCGGGGCGGGGCCAATTTTGACCCCAGGGCTTTTATTTGAACAAACTTGGTAGACACTCACTAGAAGATGTTCCATGCCAAATATCTTAGCTCTAGCTCTTACAGTTCTTTAAAAGAAGATTTTTTAAGTTTTTACTATATGCATATAGGGAAAATCAATGACCCCCTGGGGCGGGGCCAATTTTGACCCCAGGGCTTTTATTTGAACAAACTTGGTAGACACTCATTAGAAGATGTTTCATGCCAAATATCTAAGCTCTAGCTCTTAGGGTTGTTTAAAAGAAGATATTTAAAGATTTTTCTTTCGGTTGCCATGGCAACCAGAGTTCTGCATGGAATTAAATTCTTTGAACAATTTTTAAAGGTGACCACCAAAGGAACATTCCTGTGAAGTTTGGATGAAATTGGCTCAGTGGTTTATGAGGAGATGTCATTTAAAGCAAAAGTTTACGGACGACGGACGGACGACGGACGGACGGACGGACGGACGGACGGACGCCGGACGAAAAGCGATCACAAAAGCTCACCCTGTCACTTTGTGACAGGTGAGCTAAAAAAATTCATTAACAGACAGATGCAAAGAAACCATGTGTTCAACTTATATACTTTCTTATTTTAACTTTGGTTGTTTTTTATATTGATTTTAACTTTTTTTATGTAACATCTTGACCATCAATCTACCTAAACAATTTTCCTGGATTTATCCACAAGTGATCAAATACTAATTCAACAAGATTAAGCAGAGACAAAACACCATTAGACTCAAATGTCCAAGATTAATTGTACGTGAAATTTTTTTCCTTGCCCAAGGATCAAAACCAACCTGAATGACACCGAAAGAAATTAACCGAAAAACCCTTTAAGAAAGAACTTTCAAAATACAGATCAACACCATTTAAGAGACACTATTTTGGCCGATGCTTAGAAGCTTTGCTCTCAAGACGTTAGATTTATTGTGAGGTCTTATTTTCAGAAGAACTGACAGTCATAAAAATAACTTATTGTAAAGAGATGATAGAAAATTAGAAGAAGTCACATCAGCAAAATGCCAGTTGGCAATTTCAACATATAATGTCTGAAGACCATCGTGAGTAAAACATCACTTGTGACTTGAATTAATTTTCCAAAACGACACCAACAAATCAAATTATCCAACATAAACTGATGTTTGCCTTTGAAAACAATAGTCAGTAACTGAACAACATTAGAATGGTAGCATATTAACAAGTAAACACCTCTGGTGACTTACAAAGAATATTAAAACATCATTATCATATTGACATTGAAATAAAACCAATTTTAAACCCTTTTATTCAACATGTTTGCTGTATTTGGACTTTTGTACACGTAAAATTTCTGAAAAGGTCGGACAGCCTCAAGAATAGTTTGATCAATTAGTGAATTTAAGATATTTATCAACAACAATTTCGGGAGAACAGAAATTTTAAGTGACTGCAAAAAACGGGTGCCAGGAAAAGAGACATGCGTTTCTCTTCCCTGCCTGTCACATTTTTGTCAACGTCAAATTTTAGTAATACTGCTTTTCTTAACATTAACATTAAAGTTGGGAAATGGCATACCTAAAACATGGACTAAGATGTACAGACATATTTTTATGTCTCTTCTCAAATCTCTGGTATTTTTTCACAAAGTGCAGATAATCTCTACGGATTACAATAGTCCTTTGCATCTTCATCTTCATAACAACACCTGACAGAATACGTCCTCGGATGCTCACGTTACCAGTAAATGGACATTTCTTATCAATGTATGTGCCTTCGACAGCCTAAAATGAAGATAATTTGCAATGTAAGGAGAAAAGTTATACAAGTTATGACTTTCACAAATTATCTTAAATTCTTAATCAGTATTAATATAAATTATAAAGTTATTCAGATTGCTTCAGCAGGATTGCTTAAAATATTTATCAAGTCCACTAAGCTTAGTAACCCTTAAACCTTTAGCAAGAAACTACTTTTTTGGTTGTAAATCTATAAAAAACTAGAAATGTGTCATCATGCCACGGATGCCCCCGCATGCAGCCAAAATTTCAGATGGTGCATAAATTAATTTTTTCATTTTAAGTTCAAAGCCCTTAAAACTTTTCAATGTTAACACAAACCATTTTTATACAATGTTCAAGGCACTGAAATCATTCAGTCTTAACCTTTTAACTAGAAATGTGTCATCATGCCACGGATGCCCCCGCATGCAGCCAAAATTTCAGATGGTGCATTAATTTTTTTTTTTCATTTTAAGTTCAAAGCCCTTAAAACTTTTCAATGTTAACACAAACCATTTCCATACAACGTTCAAGGCACTGAAATTATTCAGTCTTAACCTTTAGAAAAAGCATATTGCATATTTGTAGCCAAAATAATGGCTAAAAGAATGAGTGCTGAAACTGAAAGTTCAAAATTTTTCCAACATTCAGGAAAGATAAGTTTGTCTAAAATCATTGAACCATGACCAAATTCAAACTTAAACTGCTTATTCTTAAGATGTATCTATATTATTTTCAAAGTGAAAGGGACATAACTCTGCCAAAAAAACATCAAACCCTGACCAAATTCCAACTTGACCTGCCCATTCCTTTGACATATCCATATGTCAAATTAAAATTTAAAATGTAACACTGTTAGGTAGATAATGAACAGAAACTGTAAATTTCATATTATTTTCAAAGTGAAAGGGGCATTACTCTGCCAAAAATCATTGAACCATGACCAAACTCGAACTTGGCCTGGGCATTCCAGAAACATATCCATATGTCAAATTTGAGTTGAATGTGTTGTACCATTGGGAGATAATAAACGGAAACTGAAAATTTCATATTACTTTCAAAGTGAAAGGGGCATAACGCTGCCAAAAATCATTGAACCATGACCAAATTTGAACTTGACCTGCGCATTCCATTGACGCATCCATATGTCACGTTTGAGTTGAATGTGTTGTACCTTGAGGGAGATAATGAACGGAAACTGAAAATTTCATATTATTTTCAAAGTAAAAGGGGCATAACTCTGCCAAAATCATCGAACCACGACCAAATTTGAACTTGACCTGCGCATTCCTTTGACGCATCAATATGTCAAGTTTGAGTTGATTGTGTTGTACCGTTGGGGAGATAATGAACGGAAACTGAAAATTTCATATTATTTTCAAAGTAAAAGGGGCATAACTCTGCCAAAAATCATCGAACCATAACCAAATTCGAACTTGACCTGTATTTTCTCATAACATATCCATATGTCAAGTTTGAGTTGAATGTGTCCAACCGTTCTTGAGATAATGAACGGAAACTGAAATTTCATATTATTTTCAAAGTAAAAGGGGCATAACTCTGCCAAAAATCATCGAACCATGACCAAATTCGAACTTGACCTGTATTTTCTCATGACATATCCATATGTCAAATTTGAGTTGAATGTGCCCAACCGTTCTTAAGATAATGAACGGAAACTGATGATGACGGAATGACAGAATGACGGAAGGACATTACATGGCGGGGGCATAAATACTCTTGCAGAGCACAATTTAATCTTCTTTTCATTACCATGAAAACAATCAAGTCTGATTATTCACTATATACTTTGTTTTCTTTTTTTATATAAATCACTAGAAATGTGTCATCATGCCACGGATGCCCCCGCATGCAGCCAAAATTTCAGATGGTGCATTAATTATTTTTTTCATTTTAAGTTCAAAGCCCTTAAAACTTTTCAATGTTAACACAAACCATTTCCATACAATGTTCAAGGCACTGAAATTATTCAGTCTTAACCTTTTAGAAATAGCATATTGCATATTTGCAGCCAAAATAATGGCTAAAAGAATGAGTGGTGAAACTGAAAGTTCAAAATTTTTCCAACATTCAGGAAAGATAAGTTTGTCTAAAATCATTGAACCACGACCAAATTCAAATTTAAACTGCTTATTCCTAAGATGTATCTATATTATTTTCAAAGTGAAAGAGACAAACTCTGCCAAAAAATCATCAAACCATGACCAAATTCCAACTTGACCTGCCCATTCCTTTGACATATCCATATGTCAAATTAAAGTTGAATATGTGACACTGTTGGGTAGATAATGAACAGAAACTGTAAATTTCATATTATTTTCAAAGTGAAAGGGGCATTACTCTGCCAAAAATCATTGAACCATGACCAAATTTGAACTTGACCTGCGCATTCCTTTGATGCATCCATATGTCACGTTTGAGTTGAATGTGTTGTACCTTGAGGGAGATAATGAATGGAAACTGAAAATTTCATATTATTTTCAAAGTAAAAGGGGCATAACTCTGCCAAAAATCATCGAACCATGACCAAATTCGAACTTGACCTGTATTTTTTCATGACATATCAATATGTCAAGTTTGAGTTGATTGTGTTGTACCATTGGGGAGATAATGAACGGAAACTGAAAATTTCATATTTTTTTCAAAGTAAAAGGGGCATAACTCTGCCAAAAATCATTGAACCATAACCAAATTCGAACTTGACCTGTATTTTCTCATGACATATCCATATGTCAAGTTTGAATTGAATGTGTCCAACCGTTCTTAAGATAATGAACGGAAACTGAAATTTCATATTATTTTTAAAGTAAAAGGGGCATAACTCTGCCAAAAATCATCGAACCATGACCAAATTCGAACTTGACCTGTATTTTCTCATGACATATCCATATGTCAAATTTGAGTTGAATATGCCCAACCGTTCTTAAGATAATGAACGGAAACTGATGATGACGGAATGACAGAATGACGGAAGGACGGAAGGACGGAAGGATGGAAGGACGGAAGGACGGAAGGACGGAAGGACGGAATGACGGAACAGGGTAACACTATATGCCCCGGCCATTACATGGCGGGGGCATAAAAATAGCATATTGCATATTTGTAGTCAAAATAATGGCTAAAAGTATGAGTGCTGAAACTGAAAGTCCAAAATTTTTCCAACATTCAGGAAAGAAAAGTTTGTCTAAAATCATTGAACCACAACCAAATTCAAACTTAAACTGCTTATTCCTAAGATGTATCTATATTATTTTCAAAGTGAAAGGGACATAACTCTGCAAAAAAATCATCAAACCATGACCAAATTCCAACTTGACCTGCCCATTCCTTTGACATATCCATATGGAATATGTAACACTGTTGGGTAGATAATGAACAGAAACTGTAAATTTCATATTATTTTCAAAGTGAAAGGGGCATTACTCTGACAAAAATCATTGAACCATGACCAAATTCGAACTTGGCCTGGGCATTCCAAAAACATATCCATATGTCAAATTTGAGTTGAATGTGTTGTACCATTGGGGAGATAATAAACGGAAACTGAAAATTTCATATTACTTTCAAAGTGAAAGGGGCATTACTCTGCCAAAAATCATTGAACCATGACCAAATTCGAACTTGACCTGCACATTCCTTTGACGCATCCATGTGTCAAGTTTGAGTTGAATGTGTTGTACCGTTGGGGAGATAATGAACGGAAACTGAAAATTTCATATTCTTTTCAAAGTAAAAGGGGCATAACTCTGTCAAAAATCATCGAACCATGACAAAATTCGAACTTGACCTGTATTTTCTCATGACATATCCATAAGTCAAGTTTGAGTTGAATGCGTTGTACTGTTGGGGAGATAATGAACGGAAACTGAAAATTTCATATTATTTTCAAAGTAAAAGGGGCATAACATGCTAAAAATCATCGAACCATGACCAAATTCGAACTTGACCTGTATTTTCTCATGACAAATCCATAAGTCAAGTTTGAGTTGAATGCGTTGTACTGTTGGGGAGTTAATGAACGGAAACTGAAAATTTCATATTATTTTCAAAGTAAAAGGGGCATAACTCTGCTAAAAATCATCGAACCATGACCAAATTCGAACTTGACCTGTATTTTCTCATGACATATCCATATGTCAAGTTTGAGTGGAATGCGTTGTACCGTTGGGGAGATAATGAACGGAAACTGAAATTTCATATTATTTTCAAAGTAAAAGGGGCATAACTCTGCTAAAAATCATCGAACCATGACCAAATTCGAACTTGACCTGTATTTTCCCATGACATATCCATATGTCAAGTTTGAGTGGAATGCGTTGTACCGTTGGGGAGATAATGAACGGAAACTGAAATTTCATATTATTTTCAAAGTAAAAGGGGCATAACTCTGCCAAAAATCATCGAACCATGACCAAATTCGAACTTGACCTGTATTTTGTCATGACATATCCATATGTCAAGTCTGAGTTGAATGTGTGCAACCGTTCTTAAGATAATGAACAGAAACTGATGATGACGGAATGACAGAATGACGGAAGGACGGAAGGATGGAAGGACGGAAGGACGGAATGACGGAACAGGGTAACACTATATGCCCCGGCCATTACATGGCGGGGGCATAATAAAAACTGAAATTGGCAGATTGTGTAGTGTAACTTCTGAAAACCGAACACCCATGGGACTTGTCAAAATGTTCGGATTTCAGAGGTTGCCTGAATTCAGAGGTTTCGTATAATGTGGACAAGACTAAGCCACTAAATGACACTAAATGTCAAGGAAAATGTGGCAATTACTGTAATATCATATATAATAGTCTTTTAATCAAGATAAAGATGTGAAGGAAAAGAAAACATTGATATTTTACACTTTATTTAACTTACAAATTGTCCGATGCTAGTTAATTAATTAGTACAGCAAATGCAATAAAATCCCTGAAGACGTTTGATGCACAAATTGTCCCAATTAATTGCCATTTAATCCGC